TATTTTTTTGACATGTGCTGTTCTTACTGGTGTAAGGTGTTATCTTAGTGTGGTTTTAATTTGCACAAAATGCTTATTTCTTGCTAAAGTCCATGAGAGGGTACATGGAGAGGGCAAAATTCTAATTAATATATGCATAAATTGTGGATTGAAAGAAGTTGTGTAGAATGGTATTTCCCCTATTAAATCCTCAGACTATCAAATGTCCTGGGACATCCTCTCATGCACCTTAGATGTTTCCTGTACTGACAGAGGTTTGGCTTACTTCCTGTAGAGGTCAGTGGCACAGCTCTGGTTAACTGGCCTGACCTTAGCAAAGTATTTTTGGCTCTCTGGAGCTCAGTTAGTATGTGTCTCGTACATTGTCTGAATATTATCAGTAGACTGGAATTCTTTGCTCAAGCACTTGATAGGAATGTGGAATCAAGAACAGTGGAAGTGACAGCTTGCTACCAAAATCCTACTCCCCATCCTACTGCCCCTTGGATGTCCATGCTACCTCAGCAGCCACCCCCTGTCCAGCAGCCACATTGGTTCTGTTGACTCTGTGGGAGATTTGGCAGGTTTTATAGCATTGCATTTGTTTGGATATACAAATCCATCTGAAATCAAATTTCCAACATACTCAACCATTTAGATTCCAGAAGTTAGGAAAGGGACCTTTGAGAGCAGTAAAAGAGGTTTCCAAACCACAGCACAAGTCTCTTACACTTGATTCCATGAGGGAGGCCCTAACATTGTTAACCAGCATATTAACTCAGAGTCAACATACTTAAGATAAATATTATTATTTGTTTTTCTTGCTCAAGGTACTTTAAAAATCACATCATGGGTCAGATAAAGGTGCTATTAGAAGTAAATATATAGTCTCGAGTAAAAAATGACAGCTGATATTGCAGGGAAATACTGATAAAAAGGAAGGAAACATGAGCCCCTAATTACACAATGCATTAGAGAATAATGAAATTACCACCACAATTAGGAAATTAACAACCCCTATCTCCCACTTAAGAAAGCCAGGAGTATGAACAGTAACATTGAAAGAGACCCTGGAGGTATTTTTGGCTGACCTCTTCATGTTAAAGATAAGAATAATGTGGAGAAAGGGGTGGCTTCAGTCACAGGGTTCATCTCTCTCTTTCTTCTGTCATTGTTTTCAAGCATCTCTGCTGTCTCTGTAACTACAACTCAGTATTTGTTGCATGAAAATTAGAAAAGCCAATATATGAATCCATATCACAAAAAATAGGATGATGAATAAGAAAATATTAAGCATTCTTAACTCTAAGCTAATCAGCAAATGATAGCAGAATAATGTTAAACTATTAGTAAATTTCTCATAATAGGCCCACTTTGGTTAGTAGCCTCATTTGGCTACAAATATTCTGAGTACTTTGTAAGAATTTGATAACGTTTCATGTGATTTATTTTTAATTTGGTGTTCAGCAAATACAGACAACAATACAATGTCACCTATGTGACATGGATCCAATGGATTCATCACCACAAAACTGGCAGATCCTAGCAAAATTTGGTGAAGATGTAGAATAGAAAGATTCAATCAAGAAGTATTTATTGAGAAGCTATAAGAAGTACTTATTGAGAAGCTGGCGATACAGCAATGAAAAAAAATGTCCTCGTGAAGCTGACATGCTAGAGGAAGAGACAATGAACAAAAAGAGAGGGACAGATTGTTGCTATAATTACTTCTCTCTTGAAAGTGGTTTCTTTGACATCAGTAGTAGAATTCCCTAACTGTTCAGTTTGGGGGTTAGCAATCTCAGTTTAGAGATAGAGAGTCCTAATGTGAGTCTTAGCTATCTATATGCACATTAGTTCCTTATTTTAAGTGATGATGATAGTAAGAACTCTTCATAAGTGTGTCCTGAGGTTTCAATGAAATCAGGTCTCAATATTCAGTCCCTAGTTCACTTTAAGCACTAAATAAATACTGAGCTTATTACAGGTATTCTTACTAAGAGTCAATGGATATGTAAGTGACAAGCTTTCTAAGATTTCATAAAGTATATTATCAGATATTGGAACATCATAGTTTTCCTCAATAACCCCAAAAAGATAGGTTTTGAAACAGAGCAAGTACAAAATTGACTCCTCTTAATAAGTGCCCCCTTTGACCCAAGCCGAAGTCAAGACAAAGTCCTTTTTGGCCATGTAAAGGAAGGAGCTTTCTTCCGAGGTCGGTGCTGTGGACATGCTGTGTTTGGCTGCTTCATGCCTTTTGGTACACTAAACTCTTTGAGTCTGTCTCTGTCTGAATTACCCTGGCTCTCTTCAGCCTTAGTATGTTTATTTTATTTTGTTTTGGGCCTGAACTTCATGTCCCAGTGCTGGTTTCTAACGAGGCATCCCTCTTTCTTGAGTCACAAGAAACTGCCAATGTCTTCTCTGTGTTGTCTAAGTACTGCTTGCTTTTCTGACCATAAGAACCAGGCCATTCTGCCCAAATGCAGCACCTGCCATAGTGGGAGTAGTATAATTCCATGGAGAGGGTCATTCACCATTCACAGTAGTGGATAAATACAGGGACCATGTGGGCTATGTTTGCAGCATTTGATCTATAGCTCTCTATAAAAAATCTTAAATCATTCAGAACATAATGATGGTTAAATATAGAAACTTTGATTTCTTTCCTTTCCTCACTCCTGACAACTTCAAGTCCTGTAGACTACATCCAAAATACATCTTCACTATATATAACAGTTTGCAATTTTTAGCTAATGCATTTGGCCAACTAATTTATTGTCTGTCTTCCCCACTAAAATAAAACTCTTCTTGATTGCTGTTGGATCCGCAGCAGTTGGGCTTGGCCCATCGTATGTGCTCAAGAAATGTAAGTCAATTGTTAAACCAATAAATTGGCACATGTCTGTTCATCAATTTCAGATTCCATGTTGTGACATGTTGGTTTTATCTCAAGAAAGATGTTGGCCCATACAGAGCAGTAGTCTGTCTAGTTTCTACCTCAATCAAATGAGATAACATTTATATGTTTTTTTCACTTTTTATTTTGAATTTATAAATCTCCATATAAAGGAAACATATGTGGTCATTCATTAATCAAATTATGACCAACTCATAAAATTACTATTTTCAAAAGTAATTTAGGGTAACTATGAAAGGAATTATCATAAACAAAAGCAATAAAATCACAGTGTAGTCACCATTTAAAACTCTTGTCAAACAATGTTTTTTGGTTTTTCTTTTGGTTTTTTTTTTTTTTTTTTTTTTTTTTTTTTTGATTCTCACTGCTTGGGTTTTGACTGTGACCTTGTTTAGAGAAATGGATAAAGCTGGATCACAGAGCTCAAAAAAAAAAAAAATGAATTTCAATACGGGTCAGTCTCTTACTATCTGTAAAATTGACTGTATTTCTCCATTTCTCTAGACTTACACTCCCATCTGCAAAATGAATCAGCCTCGTAGAGTTAGTATTTGAATTCAATCTCATACGCATAAATACTTACCATTGTGCCAGTACATGCCAATACATCATCATTGTTAATTAATTTGTGCTTTGTTAAAAAAAAACACTCCCAACACGTAGTGACTTTTCCCAGCAGTCATTTGGCTAGCTCCTATTTCTATGAATTGACTGGGCATTTCTCCTTGTGTGATCAGCTGATCTCTCTGCTGGGCTGTCTCATGTATGTGTGGCAGCAGTTGGATGATTTAAGATCTAAGATAGTTTCACTGTGTGTCTGGCTATTGGCAGGCTTGCCGCCAAGGTGACAGGAGTAACTGGGCTGTGTTTACTTATCTTCCAGTAAACTAGCTCTGACTTCACATGGTAATTGTTTGCAGAGTTCTCAAAAGCAGCAAAAAAACAAGCCACAGAGCACAAGCATTTTTCAATTAACTTATTTTTCTTACATCCTTGTATCTTTTTCTTACATCCTTGTGAATTTTTTGACAATATATGGTCTCTCCCTTCAGGTATGCTCTATCACTGTAGTTCTCCCACTGCCAAAGCACCCACAGCCCCTCACGATGGTCCATTGTGCTCTTCCCACCTTCTCGATATTTTTACCTGCCCTCTCTCTTCTTGGATGTCTCAGATCGATGGTCAGCTTTCAAAGTTTGTCAAAGCACAAGTATTTTTAAGACCTTTTTTTGCATCAAGTTTGCTAAATTCCTGCTAGCTAAGAAAATCACATGTTATCCTTTGCACACACCCCATATCTTTCAACGCGGTGCCTTCCACAAAGCAGGAGCTATATAAATGCTTGTTGAACAATTGCATTGGGATGGATTAGAATCATGGTTCAGAATCTGTCCTAATAGTCTTGATCCAAGTCTCCTTGGGATAATTCTTGGTGAATTCAGGTGAAAAGGGATGAGAAAATCAGAATAGTGATTAAGAGAGAACAGGAAGAATGGACAGGATCTGTCAACTCATTAGCTGAGGGAGGTGAGGGAGGAAGAAGAGAGCAAAAATTCAGAGACTTTGCTCCAAGCTTATGGATCGAAGAATTATGTCCAAGAGATTAGCTATATAATTTTTCCTTCCCGTGACCCTCTCATTCTCACTTCAGCCTGAGCATGGAGAGAAGATTCCTCATGAATGTTAAGCTGTTGTGTTCCTTGGAGGCCAATAGACCAGGGACAATTGCTCAGGAAAGTCCAAAAGGACAAAATGGAAATATTTGCCCTTGTCACTCTGCAGAAGAGATTTGCTCTGCTGAGCAGAAAGAGGAGGAGAAATTGGAGCTGAATATATTTTTGGTTGGTACAACTTGTAAGTGCTCTGTTTGATAGCAGAGTTGTTTAAATGGCCTATTTCATAACTACACATAGCTTTTCCAAATAAATGGTGTCTGTAGAATGTTCAGGTTAATGCATGAGTCCAGTGCTCAAGAGTGTTTGCGCTCAGAGCAACTGAGCCTTCTTTCTTAATAAGTCATCTTGGCATTTTGTCAACAAGTTAATTTGCTTTTCTAAGAAACTAGATTTATACTTCCTGTGCTGTGTGCTATTCACAGATCTACAATGCAGTGAGAAGGGGAAAAGAAACAGAAGATACAATTGGATCTCTTCTCCATTTCTTCGTAAAGCTCCCAACCTCAGAGGCAGCCCATGAAAGGATTAGCATTGGCCCGTGCTTAAAGCCGTGTGTCCGGGACACTGTATGTGAGTATCGTGCTACCCTCCAAAGGACTTCCATATCTCAGTACATCACCGGCTCTCTCCTAGAAGCCACCACATCTTTAGGAGCAAGAAGTGGCCTACTCAGTACATTCGGAGGATCCACTGGACGCATGATGCTGAAAGGTAATGTTTGAAATTTCACTTTCAACCTTTCATCTTGGAGTGCAGAAAAGAATCTAAGTTAACATTTATGTATCTGATGGAAGATGCAATCTACTTATCAGCAACTTTTTTTTTTTTTTTAGAATTAAGTCATTTTATTATTTCTTTTTTTTTTTTTTAAGATTTATTTATTTATTTATACAAGCACTGGGTACAGTCAGAAGCGCGGGAGGGTGAGAGAATTCACCAGAGCCAGAGCAGGGAGCAGAGCAGGCAGAAGGACCGAAGTACACTGCTGAGGGGAGCAGCGGGTGGCAGGAGAGGTCTGCGCGCCATGTGGGACCCTCCTCCAGTGGCTGGGGAGCAGCTGGGGATCGAACCGGCGCCGCAGAGGCTGTGGGCAGCTTCGCAACCCAGCGCTCAACCGCTGCGCCACCGGGGAGGCCCCTTATCAGCAATTTTTAATGAAGGTAAAAAGTTAGTCTTTTTTCAAAATCCTATAAGATGTAAGCATGACATATAATAACATTAAGATTTTAATGATTCTTTTTCAAAAAGCATAAATGGTTATAAGGCTATCTTTAATATTTTTAAAAATTTATTCGGATAGGTAGTTTCTCCTAGTGGTAGTTCATGATAGATGACAATTATATGATAACAAGTTCCTCAACAAATGTGGTCATGTGGTCACAATGAGAACCGACAGCGGTTGGCATGGAGTTCTCCCTCCTAAACAGAATCAGTAGGTGTGTGTAGACCAGAAAGCTAAAGGCCATCTTCCAGTGATTCCCATCTTGAGAGACAGATAGTCAGGCATCCTGTTGAAAAATAAAAACCAATAGAAAACGGGGTCTCTTGGCATTTGAACCTCCCAGCTACTTCCCACGAAGAGCAGACAGGCAGGTCAGGAAAGGCAGTGCACCAGAGAGCCTCGGAGACTTGCACACTGCACAGCTGTCACAACCCTCTTGGCAACCTTCCCTGGCAGGAAGCTGCCAACCAGACAGGGACCACGCAGAGCAGCGTTCCACTGCCTGGGAGCTGCCAAGAGCTCAATCTGACATCTGGCTCCTACTCTCAAGAAGAGCATCTACTGTCCCTCCTCAGCACACCCCAGACCTGAGGCTCACAGGCCCATGACCTTTATCCTCAACCTCCCCAAGCCCCTGTATATACCCTGAACTCTCAGAGAAGACTTATATGCTTCCCTGCGTACCATTGGGTATCATGTTAGTTTGTTTTCTGGAGTGACCTGAACTGTGAATTGGTTATAAATGGTGAAGAAAGAAACATTCAAGATGTGGGAACACTAAGCGAAGGGGTTAAAAATAGACTAAACGGGAAAAACTTGGTTTCATCTGTTCTTCATTCATGCATCGTGGGTTTTTGTGTTTTTGTTTTTCTCCTGAGCCCCTACCAGGTGTTAGGTGCTGGGTAGGGAAAAAAACACAGCTCTTGCCTTCATGGATCTTAGAGTCTCTGGGAGGTAAACACTTTCCCTATGAAGAGCACTCAAGATTTCTCTGTGATACGGCTTCTAGTGACTGCCAAGCTTACCTTCTGCATCAGTGCTCTTTCTGGGAAGCTGGGTTGAGATTGGCATGTGGAATTGGCATTGCTTCAGTGTTCGTGACTACGGCCGAGGGCTCCATCTTGTAAGTTAATTAACCCATGTTTATCAGACACCCGCTCTGTGCCCAGCAGGGTGTAAGTATTATGGGAGGTCCTGATGAAGGGCAAGTCAAGTTATTTGCCTTTAAGTTCTTTGTGATCCTAAGAAGAAAGCCAGATTTGCATGTATCAAGTAATCAAAGAATAGTATGAGACTACAGAGATTACATTCTGAATAATGTGGAAGTAGCTCTAAGTGATCAAAGAGTTTGGAGAAAGAATTAATGTTCTCGGTGACAAATGGGTTGGTTGGCCTCAAACAAACAAACAACATACAATAAAAGCTACTTTCTTTCTTTTCCATTAATTACAAAGGGACAGATTTCCAGGTTCTCACCCAGGCAGACTGCCTCTAGTCTGACACTGACCACTGGGGACAAAAAAGAAACTGCTGGCTAGTGTGTCTGTTGATCTCAATTGCTATTTGCATGACCTGATTCAGATCAAAAGCTCATAGATCCACATTCCCTGTACTGAGACTCACTGGCCCATCAGCTAGTATGTTAACTTGAAATTGTCATTTTATGTAAGAGTTGGGAACAGGTTTTTTTTTTTTTCCTATTTTTCAGCTTTTTAATGGTTTCTGACATTTCTCTGGAGGTATCATCTACTGAACAATACAATTAGATAGCTGCTTCCTGCTCCAGGCTTATTTCTGCAGCTCCTGGCTTGCTCTCTTGGAACCATTTTCAACTTCAGTGCTTTCTCCCTTGAGTTTTTCAAGGTCTGTATGTGCCACAGTGAACCATGCTGCTTCATCATGCAGTGGGAGAAAATGCATCAAGAAACCATATGAATGTTTGAGGTGACAGAGTGTTTATAGAATCATGGATGCACTTCAGCATGTTGACTAGTTGGGACTTGAGCGCTGGTGGCAATCCAGAGGGTCTGCTTGCTGTGTCTGGGTTGTCTGCCTCTTTTTCTGTTTAGTGTGTGTCCTTTGGCATCAGATTATCCAACAGCCTTCATCTCTGTATTGCTGATGAAAATCTATGAACTGTATCTGTGGGGCACACTCAGTACCCAGTGCATAAATGGTTTGTGTTCCAGTTTCATTTCTCAGGAGCTGTGTGGAACTTAGAACACTTTCCTGGAGCAGGGGTATTATAAACTTTGTGATTTGGTTCCCAGACTTTAGTCCTCAAAAGCCTCTTTAACATAACAGTTGAAATCTACACACTTCCCATGAAATGAAAATCAAAATGTGATTATTGAAACACTGGGAATCAGCCTCCTAGAACAATGAAATACAAGTGAGTTAAAAGGATTATTTCTTGTTAAAGGGAAATAGTCTAAATTAAGATGAGTATAGAATTCAAGTAAAACTTTTATGGGTATTTTGAGAAGAACTTTTGGCTATTTCAGAGATTTTAGATGCTGAAAGCTATGGTTTTTTTCTTATGGCTGATTACATTTCAAGACTCACACTCATATGAATGAATCAGAAAAGTATTGTACCAGTAACTTTTTTTTAATGGAAAGCTTTATAAATGGAGTGAAGAAGGGAAAAGGGAGGCAGGGAAAAGTTTCTAAAAAAAATTTTCCCAGAGTGAGGATAAGGAAGAGAGTCAAAAAGAATGACATCTTTTATTAGGGTGATCATGTTTGAAGTGGATTAAATAGCATTGAGAAAGGCAGAGGAAAAGGAGGGGGGGAGACAAAGGCTGTATGATTCCATTTATATGAAATACTTAAAATAGTCAAACTCAAATGCACAAAAAGTGGAAAGGTGGTTGCCAGGAACTGGGGGGTGAGGAGGAGGCCTGCAGAAGGCAGGGGAATGGGGAGCTATTACTTCATTGGTATAGAGTTTCAGTTTTGCAGATGAAAGAGTTCTAGAGATGGATGGTGGCAATGGCTGTACAACTATATGAACATGCTTAAAACCACTGAACTGTACTCTTAAAAGTGTTAAGGTGTTAGATTAGTTTTTATGTATCTTACTCTAAAAAAAAATTGAAAAATTCAAAGATGAGGAGGAGATTGACTGGTCAAAGTTCTGTACCCTAGCAAGTTCCACAAAGTCTACAGGATACAGCTAACTTTTCAATATCTGCATGAGCTTGAATACCCGCAGTGGTACAGGTGGCTCCAAAAAGATAGGCAACAGTCAGTCCACAAGCATTCTGGTTTTTTGCCTTCAGACCCATCAAGGATGGTCTGTCTACTCAGTTGAAAGTTTGCCAAATAATGCGAAATATTGCTGGCATGAAACACTGATCAGTAAGAATGTGCCTCGTGAGGATATGCTGTCTCAAAATGGAGAGCTTACACCATCCTGTTGGGGACATCCACTAGCTTGGTAAAATTAAGATCTTTCTACTTGCCAACTGGGTCCCCTTCTTCCATCTGCATGAATCTTACTAGAATCTCAAGATCAACTCCATATAGCAGTGGAGTTCTAAAGAATTATTGTCTTCAAACCCAGGAAGAAGTTTTCTAAATCCATCATGTTTTTGTTTTTTTCTTCCAATATGCTACTTATTAAAAATTACAAAAGAGAGATTAAGTAAAAAGAGCAAGAAAGAGAAAGGTAATGCAGGTAAGGTGACAGTAAGGTAATGCACTGACATAGCAAAATTGGAAGTATAAAGTTGTGATGAGGAAGGAGATTTTCCTATATAAGGCAACTAAGTGTTTTCAAATATGTAGATTGTACCAGCCAAAATAGTAAATTTTATACATTAAACTCAATTTTTCATTCCCATATTGATAAATTAAGGGCTTACTAATTACATATAACCAGTACAAAGCTTACTTGCTTTTAACTTTAATTTAACTTATGTGGTAGAAAATAAAACACCACTGGCCTCCCCTGGTGGCGCAGTGGTTGAGCGCTGGGCTGCCAAGCTGCCCACCCTCTCTGCAGTGCCGGTTCAATCCCTGACAGCTGGTGAGGGTCCCACATGGCGCGCAGAGCTCTCCTGCCGCCAGCTGCTCCCCTCAGTAGTGTACTTCGTCAGTCTGCCTGTTCTCTTTCCTGCTTTGGCTCTGGTGAATTCTCTTACCCTCCTGCACTTCTGACTGTACCTAGTGCTTATATAAATAAATAAAATAAATCTTTAAAAAAAAAAAAGAAAAAAGAAAACACCACTATCCACTTTTATCCAGTCTCAATGTGTGTGTGTGTGTGTGTGTATATATATATATATATATATATATATATATATATATATTTATATAAAATAGCTATAAAGTTACAGGTCATATACACTTAAATAGATAGTAATATGAAAACAAAACATTCCCTAAATATCTAATGTTCTTATTTTAAAATAGAAATATTTTTCTTCTAATAGAAAGTTCCAACATATTTTCAACTAATTTTATTTTACTATATTAAGTATATT